AATTTATAAAGAGATTGAATCTCCCCGTCTTTTTAAAAGGAGGAACTGTAATTCATCCCCAGTTGATGAGAGAAAGTGCTTTTTTACAAAACAGTGCCAGCTAATAAATGTAGAAGGGATAATTAGAATAAGAAATAACTATTTTGTGTCCTTCAGTGAAATAATTCAGGCAAGGATCATTAGGTGAAAGATTATTGGGGACAGAATAGTCCCAGGATGCCTTAATAGCACTCTCAAATTCTAATTGTAAAAGGAAAACTACTTTTATTTTTTTATTTTTATTTATTTATTTATTTAGAAAACTACTTTTAGAGTAGAATGCTCTGATGGTCTCCTCTTTCTCCATGTGGTCAGTGTTTCACTGATATTGGGTCTACCTGCATTATGTGCTCACCTGAATGCAGTCTGACATTATCATATTCACCTATGGAATATTCTGGCAACATGAATTCAGTCCTTAGAGTTCCTGTTTACAGGAAACACAGGGCATGAAAGTACAAGTTGGGCACCTTGAGCACAATCTGAAAAATCTAGATTGTGTAATATTCTATGAAGTGACTGCCCTTACACAGGGATGGTTTAATGTATGCAAATCGATAAATGTGATACACCACATAATAAACAAAAGGATAAAAATCATATATCTATAGATGCAGAAAAAGCATTTGACAAGATACAGCATACATTTGTGATTAAAACACTTAAAAAAATGGGTATAGAAGGAAAGTACCTCAACATAATAAAGGCCAAATATGACATACCTTCAGCTAACATCATACTTAATGGTGAAAAACTAAAAACCTTTCCTTTAAGATCAAGAACAAGACAAGGCTGTCTGTTATCACTATTATTCAATATAGTGTTGAAAGTCCTAGCTAGAGTGATCTGGCAAGAGAAATAAAAGGCATCTAAATAGGGAATGAAAAAGTCAAATTGTCCCTTTTTGCAGATGACATGATTTGCTATATAGGAGACCCTAAAGACTCCACGAAAAGACTACTAGAAACAATAAATACAGTAATGTTTCAGGATACAAAATCAATTAGTAAAAACCCATGGTGTTCTTTATACTCTTTAACAATGAATTTTCAGAAAAAAATGTAAAAAAAAAAAATTCCTTTTGTGATTAAAACAAAAAGAATAAAATACCTAGGAATAAACCTGATGAAGCATGAGAAGGACATATACAATGAAAACTGTAAGACATTATTAAAAGAAATTGAAGAAGATGCAAAGAAATGGAAAGATATTTTGTGTTCTTGGATTGGAAGAATCAACATAGTTAAAATGACCTTATTACCTAAAGCATTATACAGATTTAATGCAGTCTCCATCAAAATCCCAATGGCATTTTATAAGGAAAGAGAACAAAAAATCATTAGATTTATATGGAAGCACAAAAGACCCTGAATAACGAAAGCAATCCTGAGAAAAAAGAACAAGGCTGGAGGTATCACTTTTCCCGACTTCAAATTATACTACAAAGCAACAGTGATCAAAACAACATTGTATTGGCAGAAAAACACACGGACCAATGGAACAGAATTGAGAGTCCAGAAATAAAGCCTCATATATACGGGCAAGTAATTTTTGACAAAGGAGCCAAAAACATAATGAAGAAAGGAAGGCCTCTTTCATAAATGGCGCTGGGAAAATTGGAAAGCCACATGTAAAAGAATGAAACTAGATTATTGGTATCTGTAACTATACACCAAAATTAATTCAAAATGGATCAAAGCCATGAATATAAGACCCCAAACAAATTACACAGAAGATGCATAGGCACTAAACTCATGGACCTTGTATTCAGAAAGAATTTCATGAATATGAGCTCAAAGGCAAGGGAAGTAAAAGGAGAAATAAATGAATAGAACTATATTAAATCGAAAAGTTTCTGCACAGCAAAAAATCAGCTGAACGGGGGAAGATATTTGTAAACAATGCCTCTGGTAAGGGCTTAATATCCAAAATATACAAAAACTTATGGAGCTCAATGAAAAAAGTCCAATTAAAAATTGGCAGAGGACCTCCTAAGAAGACATACAAATGGCCAACAGACATATGAAAAGATGCTCAACTTTACTAGCTATTAGGGAAATGCAAATCAAAACCAAAATGAGCTACCACTTCACACCTATTAGAATGGCTATTATCAACTGGAAAAGTAACAAGCATTAAGTTGTGGGGAAAAAGAAACTCCTACGCTGCTGGTGGGATGTAAATTGGTACAACCATTGTGGAAAACAGTATGGAGATTCCTCAGAATATTAAGAGTAGAATTACTATGTGACTCAGCAATCCCTCTTCCGGGTGTCTATCCAAAAAACTTGAAAACATTTATCTGCAAAGACATGTGCACCCTGATGTTAATAGAGCAGCATTGTTCACAGTGTCCAGGACATGGCAGCAACCAAAATGCCCTACAATAGATGGTTGGATGAAGAAGATATGTTACCTGTATACAGTAGGATATTACTCAGCTATTAGAAAAGATGAAATTCTGTCATTTGTGACAATATGGATGGATACTGAGATTATCATGCTAAGTGAAATAAGTCAGACAAAAAGTTGAGAACCATATGATTTCACTTGTATGTGCAATATAAAACTGACAGCAACAAACAAACATGACAAACAGAGACTCAATGGACACAGCAGATTAGTGATTACCAGAGGGAAGGTGGGGAGTAGGTAGGGGTGAAGGGGTCACATATATGGTGAAGGAAGGAAATTTACCTTTGGTGAACACATAGTGCAATCTAGAAATGTTGTATTATCGAATTGTACACTTGAAACCTATATGATTTTATTAACCAATGTCACCTAATAATTTTAATTAAAAAAAAAATGTGGGACAAGGTTAAGAAAAATAAAAATAAAGTGACTGACCTTAATTTCTTCAAAAGTTATTGGATGAATGGAAGTAAGGAGATAGAAAGGACTGTTTTAGATTACAGAGATTAGAGATAAACACCATGCATGAAACTTGGTTGGATCTTGATTAAAAGGGAGATAAGCTATAGAAGACATTTGCAGAAAATCTGAATATGGACTTCGTATTCGATAATTATTAATTTTAGGTGAGTTAAAGTATCGTGGGTATATAGGAAAATATACTTTTGTACCCTGCTACTGAAAGTGTGGTAGATGAACACATAGCATGGGCATCACTGGAGAGGTCATTAGAAAAACAGTCTCAGGTACCTCCTCTGACCAACGGAATCAGAATTTGAATTTAAACAAGCTCTCCCAGTGATTCATATGCACATTAAGTCTGAGAAACAGTATTTTGGACATGCACACTGAGATATTTAGAAATGTGGAAAAAAATGGGAGAAGGAGGGAGGGATAGAAAAGCAAATGTAAAATATTAGCAGTTGTTGAATCTGAGTAGTGGCATATAGCTTATTCAGTGTATTATTCTTTCAACATTTCTGGAAGGTTGAACATTTCATAATAAAAACTTGGGAGAGTTGGGGGTAATGTTAACATTTTGTTAAACTTGACCAAATCCTTTGCCCAGGAAACATTTATGAAAGCTAAGCATTATTTTTAAAATGTGGAAGTCTTCTGAGAGGCTCATAATTATTTATCCCTGAAGCTCTAATATTTAATTTTCTCACTTATATTAATAGGAATCTATCTACATATTATTACAGAGTTTTTGTCTTCTAAATATTACCTATTTAAAAAACAACCTTTAAAAGGGAATTTTTTAATTTAAGGACTACAGCATAACACAACTAAATGTAATATTTTCTGATTTCAGAGCCTGTTAAACAAATCAGTGGGTACTTTCTATGAGGTGTTAACACTTTGTCTATACCAGTTCTGTAGTTATTAGTAATAGCTACTACACACTGTGCCGGGCACTGTGTGCTGGGCATTGTGCTGACTACTGAGCAAGATAAATATGGTTCCTGCCCTTATGTTGTTTATAATCTAGCAAATAAAAACATTTTTTTTTTGCTTTGTCCTAACTAGTCTTTACATATTATTTATATCTTATTTGACTTAATTATTAATATTTAATCCTATATAAAAGCTTTAGAAGCGTTTTGTGTAAGAGCTTATTTATATTAGTACATACAAACTGTGTGGGACAATCTTTAGACAAAGATAAATAGGTTAGTGTATATTTTAAATAAGAATTATATTTTAATATTATTTAATATCACACGTAAGTGTCATTATGATAGAATAGCTTTTAGAAAAAAACCTAAACACTAATTATGCATTACTTTTGGCTTCAGGTGGTTACCCTGACAGCTAATGATAAGACAAGTGTTTCCTTCTCTTCCCTCCGGGGACAAGGTGTCATTTATAATGTCATTGTTTGGGACCCATTTCTAAACACATCTGCTGCTTATGTTCCTGTTCACACATATGCCTGCAGCTTTGAGGCAGCGGAGAGTGACTGTTCTTCTCTTGGTGAGTATACAGATTTAAACTTTGCAAATTCTTCTTTGGCTTTGAAGATCTATATCAACTAATACAGAACTTAAGACTATTAAAAGTGCTTTTGTATTCATTCATTCATTCAACAAATGCTTTTTAAACCCCTATGTTATTCCACTCTCTATTCTCAGCACTGGGATGTGTCAGTGAACAAGACACAAAATACCTGCCCTCCTGGAGCTTATATTTTAGTGTGCGAGATGAGACAGACAAGATATATTTGTAAATACATGAGAAAGTGATGAGCACTGAGAAGCAAAAATGAAGTAGAAAAGGGAAATAACAAGTGGCAGTGAGAGAAGAATCTGAGAAAGCATGGCTAGGGAAGTCCTTGCTAGGAAAGACCCTAGGTGAGGCAGGGAGCCATTTGTCTGGGGGTACCTGCCAGGCAGAGGGAACAGCCAGTGCGGGGGTCCTCAATTGGGAGCTTACTGGTGTGTTTGAAGAACTGCCTTGTGTACGGTGGCTGGAGGAGACTGAGGAGGGTGAGAGGTACAAGGGCAGGCAAGCTGTGCGGCCTTGTAGGTCATAGTATGGGCTTTAGCTTTTGTTGGGAGTGAAATGGAAAGGCATTGAAGGGTTTGAGCAGATAGTGCCATGATCGGACTCATATTTTAATGAGATCACTCTGGCTCTTTTTTTGAGAAAAATCAGGGGCAAGAGCAGACACATTGATTAGCAGGCCATTGTATTAATCCAAGTGAGAGATGGTGGTAGTTTAGATAGAATGGTGGCAGTGGAGGTGTGGAAAGAGCATTCTGTGTGTGTGTTTAATATTTTATTTTGAAATAGTTTCACAGAAAAGATGCAGAAGTAGTATACAGAATTCTGCATCTGTTCACCCAGATACGTCATATGCTAGTTAACATATTATGCTGTTTTCATTTTATCCTATTTATAGCTATATAAAACTTTTTTTTTTTTTTAATAAAGAAGAGCTTTATCTCATCAACTGGGGATGAATTACAGTTCTTTCTTTTAAAAAGGAAAGGTAAATTCCTCCCATTTATCAATTTTCAGCCACTGTCTGAATTAAGCAGAATGTGACGTATCTTTCGTTTCCTTTTTCTTTTGGGCTCTTCGGTCTTAGAAAAGCTGATAGGTGGGTATATATTATGCCCTGAAAATTCTGGTCTTTTATTTTGTGTTTCTTTTTTAAATGTAGGTCTTCATAGTGTTTCCATTTGAGTACTCTTAAATATTTTATGTTTTTTGATTGGTGGTGGGTTTGTAATGTTTTTCACATGAGTTTGTATAGGTGTTTTGTTTTGGTTTTAGTTCAGGGATCACTTTCTTGTGTTTATCTCAAAGGAGTCATGATGGTGGTGAATTTAGTGAGCATATTTTATTCTTCACTAAGCCCTTTCAAATCATGGTTTTGTTTTTAAGTTTGTGCCTACCAAGAATCACAGGATTTGGATTTTTTGGCATTATGAAGCATGTTGTGCTTTATTGTTAGTTATAACACTATCTTTTTTTTTTCCAAAGCAATACGTATGTTTAATAAGATTGGCAGTAAATCATGTGTCTTATAGTGCAGTATATGTTCTTTTATTTTAATGTGAATTTTGGTTAAATTTTTTTGTTATGAGAAACTTCAGTCTTCATATACAATTATTCAGCCTTAATAATTTTGATTCATTATCTTGTTTCAGCTATATACCCACCTGTGTGTCTGCCTCCTTACCCTCTTTTTATCACTGGATTCTTTTAGAACAAATCCCTGATTATCATTTTGCTCACAAGATTTCAGTCTGTGTATCTTAAAGATAAGCTCTGTCTTTAAAAAATATAGCCACACATATCATTAACACAAGTTTCAATCTAAAATATTGAAGATAACTTCTTAATGGCATAAAACAGGCAATGTTTACATTTCCCCAGTCATCCCAATTGCTTTTCACAGGTTTTTTTGTTGTTGTCATTTGAATCAGGTTTCAGATGAGATCTGAACATTTTGTTTAGTTTGATGTGCCTCTTAAATCTCTTTTAATTCAGTTCTTCCTCCTGCTCCTCCCTCTCCTTTTTTCTTGTAGTTTATTTGTGAAGAAACAATTATTTATTTTAGGCACTTTCTCTTTTTCTTCCTTTCCCATTTCCTCCCCATCCACCCCCTTACCCAAGAATATGTTACATATTTCTATCAGGAAGCATATAGTTTTTAATTTCTCTTTTTGTTATACTAGCAGCCATTGCCTATGGAGAAGAATTTGTTAGGAATGGCAGGGATATTTTAAAAATAAATTATATGTATATGGAATAAAGTATTGTCACTTTGCTTTTTTCATGAAGTTTTGTTCTGTTAAATAGAAAGTATCAAATTGGGTATATTATGCACTAAATTGTTATTATTTTTAGGAAGAGTATCAACCAAAGTGTTTTTTACTCTTTTTGCCGTGCTTGGTCTCTTCATCTGTTTCTTCGGACACAGATTCTGGAAAACAGGTATTATGTCTGATATAGTTGCTATTTACATGCCTCATGGTCTTTAATCTTAAATGCTGCTGGAGGAATTTCTGTCCTGTAAAAAGAGAAAGCAACTGCTTATCTCCATTATCTTCATAGATTTGTGTTTAGGTTCTTTTTAGTGAGGATTCTACTGAGTTTCTCTGCATTTTTATTTTTTCTCTTTTCTCATTAATGGGGTACAAGCTCCTTTTATTAAGAGAGGAATAAAATTTGATTTGTGCACCAACCTTGTCAGTTGCTAGATTGGCTAGTTGACTAAAGATAAGTTAGAAATCAGGACGTCAGTATAAAAATGTGTGGATTTGATGATGGCGATCAACATGGTTTTGTATAAATCAGGCTGTAGGCTCCATGTATTTGTTCAGTTCTGGGAGGTTCAGACAGCAAATGGGAGGTCCGCTCATTGAAACCTAGTGCAGGGAGTAGAATATAAATATGCTCATGAAAATGATTTGGATTCTTTGAGTTGCCTTTTATGTAACTAATGTTTACAATTACTTTAAAAAATCCTTATTTAGTTCACTAACAAAGGATAATGGAGTATAATGGAGCATCAGGGGAGAGTGAACATAATCTTGATCTCATAAAACTCTTTAAACTTGCTTTAATAAATTGTTTGAAGTAGCAGCTCCTTTCTCTCCATTGCTATATTTTTTTTCCTTGATTGAGAAGAGAATATTGTGAAGACTATTTAATTTCGCAAAGTGTAGAATGATTCTGTAACAAGGAATTTAATAGCTAAGCTGTATGCAAGGTTCCAAAGCTTTTACTAGGTATTTTAATGGGTGAAGAAAATAGTTGCTTGCTCATCCTAAACAGGAAAGGATGAATTGAAAGAAGATATAAAAGTCATATTTTGCTTTGGAATATTTTGTTGTATTTTTTTACCTTTCACATTTTATTTTTGCTCCTGTAACAAATTGAGATTTAGTCTGTAATTTCAGATCAGATACAATGGCAAAAGTACTATTTTTGTTTTAAGAAGGAAATATAAATATATGAAAATGAGCTATGAAATTAATAATTAACAACTTAGCAATTGAAACTGACTTGTACACAAGAAAGTGTTAATACTTTAATATTGTATGCATTTCAAAGTATTATTTGCTCCCAGTGAATTCTAAATTTATATTTACACCAATGAATTCTAAATTTTCCTGCCTTTGGATAGTTATTTCTCTTCTGTGAATGCCCTAATATATAAGCATGTATTTGAAGATGAGATATTTAAATTGCATTGTAAAATGAATACCTAACCATAGCTTGTGTTATTTTCCTTTCTGGTGGTTTGCTGCTAGAATTATTCTTCATAGGCTTTATCTTCATGGGATTCTTCTTTTATATCATGATTACAAGACTGACACCTATTGAATATGATGGTAAGTAAAAATAACATAGTTTAATTGGATGTTAAAAAAGGAAGATGCCATATTTACAGAGACCTTTCTTTCTATAGTTCGACTGGCATTATATGTAATATGATGTGTGTAAAGTAATGGGCCACCTATGTTCTAAACATCTTTTCTAAATTACTTATTCAGACCTTCTCTTCCAAGTTTTTAATCTGCGTGGTGAATTCCTTGGTATTTAGGGAAATGAAAGGTCATATTGATTATAAACCTGTGTTCCAACTATGTGGTATATTGAACTATGAGATTTACAACAATCAAAATGTTAAGATTTTCTTTACCTTAAATATAACCACTTCTTTCTTGTCATGTTTAACAGAATACTTGTCACCGCTGCTTCTTCAGCCCCAAATTATGGGTTGTGCCAAGCCACTCCCGTGACCAGTACTGGGAGGTTTAGCTCCCTGGCTAGTTTCCAGGGCTCAGACTGGCCCCTCCCTAGAGGGAGCCTGTGCTGGTTTCATGGCGCCACTAAAGAGTTCACCAACCTTCTGTTGGTGCTTGAGCAACAGAAAAGCTAAGGATGACTCTGGCAATGGTATATTGTGTCTAAAGCATGCAGTTGGACAAACTACCTCTGGTCAAACAGTTCATCTTCCTTTGTGCAGTTCGTCTGATTCTAACAGCCATCGCTGGAAGCATTGGTGGGATTTTCTTAGTAGCTGCTTGGTGGCGATTTGGAATCCTCATGCTCTGTATGCTGTGTGTTGGACTAGTATTGGGCTTCTTCATCTCATCAGTGACTTTCTTCACTCCACTGGGTAACGAATGTATAGCTAATGTTTTCTGTCTTTAGTTCATTGTTTGAAAAGTCTTATTTGGGCTCTGTAGGTACAAATACATGCCATCAAGGACTTGGGACCTTCTATAGAATTCTGCAAATTTGCATTAGAAGGCCAATACAAATAAGAATCTCTCTTTCCTCAAAGGCATCCTGTACTAGATGACTTACAGAATGTCTTTAGGGGTAGCTTTGTAACTATTTGTTGTGATGTGTGTGTGTGTGTGTGTGGGTGTGTGTGTGTGTGTGAGAGAGAGAGAGAGAGAGATATTTAATGGAGGTAAAGGATTTTCTTAATATATGACAGAACAGTGGTTTTTGCTTATTTTTTTAAACCCTGCAACCCTTATTCAGTGAATCTTAAGCAGAAGCCGAATATCCCACAGATAAAATTGGCACTGTTCTGATGGCAGCTGAATTGGGCAACCTGGTGCTTTGTTTTTAGTCTTCTTTGGTACACCCAACCTTTTTTTTTAAATGATTTTAACTTTCTTTGCAGTTTTGCAATAACTTACATTTCCCGATTATTGCAAAAATGCATAAAGAGTATCTTCATTCCAAGGTACTCTGTTAGGCTGTTTGCTTCTTGTGATAATGCTTATGTTACAACATCAGATTAAAGTTGATGGAAATGTTAGATATAAGTATAGCTGTCTCTTCAAGCTATCAGTTCTTGAGAAAATAGTATAACAGAATGCAGTTGGCTCTCTCTAAAGATTTTTTTTAAGGCCAGAGAGAATTGATAACCTGTATGTGTACCGACTGTTCTGAGGCCCTTGAGGCCCTTTGTCTGATTTTAGCAAACCTATAGCCAAGTTTATTTCCACAGCACCACCTGCAGGTAGCTTTTTATCTAGTCTTATGCAAAGTAGTGTTGTTTAGATTTGGCTAAATATCAGCTTGAGAGGGATGTTTGCTGAAAATGCAGACATAGGGCCCTATTCTAAATGCGCTAAATCAAATACTACTTAATGGGCTCCTCCCTGCCCCGTTTTTGTTAATGCTTGGAGAGTGGAGGGATGATAGTTTAGAATTTTTAGTAGTTAGTTAATGTGCTTTTGATGAGTAGAAATAACATAAATTTTGAAGTAAGGAAAAAAACCCAAAAACCTGTGTATGTATTCTAACTGTCGCTAATATGTTACTAGCTTATAACCTTGGATAAGATACTGAAGCTTTGTTTCATCTTTTGTAAAACTATCTCAGGGTAGAAGTGTGGAGTAAATGGATAATACAAATAAGGAGAAAGGCCTTAGAATTTTCTTCTTATAAAAGTAACCTGAAGTAGTTGTCTCTATAAACTTTTTGACAAGATATTCCTACTGGTAAAAATAATTTTAGCATATACCATTTATATATATATGTTTCCTTATGTCATTGCTCAAAGACAGGGTGTTTCCTTAATGATAGTGGATGCAAACATTAACATTTGCAAATATTAAATTTGAAAAATATCTGGCCAACTTCATTAATTACTGCTGTTTTCACATTATGTGGCCAGCAAAGAGTTTATACTCTGGAAGCGTCTGCCTTCACATGCCTGCATAACTAATACTTTTTTCACACACACACACACACACACACACACACACACACACACACACACACACTTATTTATGGTTATACACTTTATTTTTTTTTATTAAGTTTATTGGGGTAACATTGGTTAATACAATTATATAATTTTCAGTTATACATTATAGTTTGACATCCTTATATTCTATTGTGTGATTACCACCCAAAGTCCAGTTTCCTTTAGCTACCATATATTTGATCCCCTTTACCCACTTCACTCTCCCTCTACCCCCCTATATTTGACCCCCTTTACTCCGTCTACCTCTCCCCTCCTCCCCAACCCCCTACCCTCTGGTAACCACTAGTCCATTGTCCATGTCCCTATGTCTCTGTTTGTCCTGTTCATTTGTTGCTTTTAGATTTATAACCCACATATAAGCGATATCATGTGATTTTCAACTTTTTCAGTCTTACTTATTTCGCTTAGCATGATTATCTCAAGGTCCATCCATGTTGTCACAAATGGCAGTATTTCATCTCTTCTTATGGCTAAAATTCTAAACTATCATCCCTCCACTCTCCAAGTAATATTCCATTGTATATTTGGAATATACAAAGTTTCTTTAGCCAATCATCTATCATAGGACACTTCGGTTGCTTCCATGTCCTGGCCACTGTGAATAATGCTGTTACGAACATTGGTATGCAAAAATCTTTTTGGATATGGGTTTATAACTACTATTTTTAATCCCTGATTCCTTGAAAGACTTTTTTTTAAAAACCATGTTTATATCGTGAAGGTTAGGATAATTAGAGAATGTGATCCATAAATTCACTCTAGCATGTTGTGGTTCACTTTCTGAGAATGTGGGTTCCAAGGTCAGATCCTCACTACAGAACTCCCACTCTTCCAGGATACATGGGTCTCAAGATATTGGACCGCCTCCAGTTGGACTGAGTGATGGTGCCAGTGTCAGTATAAATGATTGTCGGGCTTAGATCCTTGCTATTTAAAATTAACTTTTAAATAGGAGTTCTAATATATTTGTTCTGGGTTAACCCAAGGTGTGCCACATTTTGGAGAAAGTTTAGTAGGAGAAGTAAGCAGCTACTGTTATTTCCTGATGCATTAGGAAATCACATCTTCCAGGACAAAGTGGCTGGGCAGGAAATGCATTGATGGCAAAAATCTTTTAAATATATTTTGCTGCTTATATTGGGTGAGAGTTCATATGGTTAACTCTGAATGCCATTTACTTATATTTTTTATTCTACACTACAAAATCTTGGAATCATAGAAATTTAGAGCTAAAATGGATGATTTGGAGCTTGGAGATGAAGTGGTTCAATCTTCCAATATTAGGGGTTAGGGAATTGAGGCCCAGCATCACAGCTGGTGAATGGAAGAGCTTGGACTAGTCCACCTTCTTCTAAATTATTCTAGTAATAAATGTAGAGCCTTTACCTTCTTGATTTTCCTCCCACCCTTGTACCTTCTAGGACACATCCTTCAAAGGTGATTGTGTTGACACTTAGATGACTAAAATCGTAATTTCTAATAGCCAGCATACTCTCTGGTTCTCATGTTAAACCTTTGGTGTCTGTCTGTGTTCAGATGTTGAGAAAATGAAAATTTAACTTAGTGAACCTGTCTTTTACTCTTGATTTCTTTTTGCTTTTTCAGGAAACCTAACAGTATTTCGTAACGATGATGTGTTCTGGGTAACCTTCTCTTGTATCGCTATTCTCATTCCGGTAATTTTCATGGGCTGCCTAAGAATAGTAAGTGTTTCATCAGAAGTTAGATTTATTCATTATATTGTCCTGAGCCTTCAGTTTTTCACTTATCGCATCAGTTTGTGTGTTTTATTCACTAGGGAGAACTTTATGATAATCTGTATCAGATGATTGATTTTAAATAGCCTTGTTACTATGAAAGCAAGAGAAGTTGTAATTACGATTACATACAGTGTTTTTTTTTTTAATTAAATGGAGCATCTTATCACTGTTCATATGCTTTTAACAATGGGAGGCGAGACGATAGGGCTCACGATAATGCAACAACCTGATGGATCATTTGCTATCTCTGCAGAAGAATGGTTCTTCATCTAATTAAACTTTATTGTTGAAGTTCTTACACAGGGAAGATATTTTTCTATAAGGTAAACTGTGTTTTAAAAACTCACTATGGGTGTTGAAGGTTATTTTCAGTTTATATTTTTAGGTAAGCTTTTTCAGCTCTAAGACTTGATCCCTTGTCATGTACCCTGAGGAACAGAAGTGATTCCCTGTAATTGAGGCCAGTGATGAGAGTTAGAAACTATTCTTGTTCTACCAGAGGTGAAGCCTAAACTCTCTCTCTCTCTTCCACAGCTGAACATACTGACTTGTGGATTCATTGGCTCCTATTCGGTGGTTTTGGCCGTTGACAGTTACTTGTACACAAGCCTTTCTTATATCACTTTGAATGTACTCAAGAGAGCACTCAACACTCATTTCCGTGGAGCTTTCACAAATGTGCCTTTTCAAACTAATGGTAAGACTCTGAATCCAAGATTAAGAATGATAGTCAACTAGGAATATTGGCCCACCTGTGCTAACTAGAGCACTAAGTAACTAGATTGAAAGAAGGTTAACTGGTTGGAAAGAAAGTTAACTGGATACAAGGAAACTCACACCCTACAAATGCTATTAGAGTCCCCTGTTAATGATAACTTATGATCATAGAAAGAATTTAAATTTGTAAAGTGGTTGAAGTTTATATTTCTAAAAATCTATTAATTAACTTTGTTAAGAAATTTGTAAACCAAGATTACTTAGGTGTACCTGGTTTTGAGAAAAATGCTGAGAATAAAGCTTGCCACCTCATGGGATGGAGTGGGATGAGGAATAAAAATGGCAACCTGATTTTTTAAACTTATTCTTGTTTCCCTCCCTTTAAAAAGCATGTAATTTACTAATTGGAAGTGAAAATGATTTTCAGTTAGTATTTTCTCACTTGTAACATTTCTACCCATTAAAGATTTTTCATTAACTTTTCAAAGGGAAAAAAAGACTACTATAAATGTTCAAAAAGATTGTAAGATATGTTAGTTTCAGAAATGTTAAAATATTGAGGATAGTAAAGCATGTCTTAGAATTGAAGATGTGTAAGCACAATCGTCATTGTTATAAATATTTAAGCTAAATCTTTTCCTCTGCTATCCTGAGCCTGCCCTCATTGGATAAGAGGTTGATGGTAGAGATCTTGAAACCCATGTGTCTTGTTTTACATACAAGATAGTATTTTGCCAAGCCTTTACTCAAAGCTCAGTGTAAGTTGTTGAATCTTCTCGTGCATTTCTATACCCAGTCTATAGGTGTAGGGGGTTGGGGGAAGATAGCATACTGGTGTCTAATGTTCCATGATATATATTTGTAAGGTATACCTAGAATGCTGCCTGCTGCTCACCCCCCAACTATGCCTGTGGGCACTGGTCATAAAATATTGGAATGACAAAGATCCAGACAACTAGTTCCTTTACAACCAGTCTGGATTTTCAAGTGCCTATAATAGAAAATTCCTGTTTTGAAACGTAAGACTGCAGCTTCCTCATTCATTCCTTGATTTGCAAATGAGGAAATAACATATGTTTAGACAAAGTTAACAGAGAGTCTAATATTACTAAGAAAGGATGACACAGATTTAGTCTGTGAAAGGTTTTTTTTTTTTTAAATGCAAAAGTTCAAACTGTGTTTTTTACTGTTTTTTAGACTTTATTATCCTGGCAGTATGGGGGATGCTGGCTGTAAGTGGAATTACATTACAAATGCGAAGAGAAGGAGGGCGACCACTTTTCCCTCCCCACCCATACAAACTATGGAAACGAGAGAGGGAGCGCAGAGTAACCAACATCTTGGATCCTAGCTACCACATCCCTCCATTGAGAGAGAGGCTGTATGGCCAGTTAACCCAGATCAGAGAGCTCTTCCAGAAAGAACAGCCAGCTGGAGAGAGAACACCCCTACTTCTATAAATGTCGAAGGGGGCCTTGGTCAGTGTGATCCTGAAGTACAAGGCAGGCACTGCCTCAGCTTTGGTGTTTATGCACAGCCTGCTTCAGCAGTCTCCAATGCAGGTCGTAAGAAAGCAGGTTTATGTGTCTGCTTTGTATGATATTGCGGTGTCCTCATTGATGTATGTATGGTACAGGTGTGCCAAGATTATGATAGTTCTGTTAGAGTGAGAAAGATGACCAAAAAAGTGGTGGTAGGGATGCATTTTCTTTTTTGAAATACTTAATAATTAATTACCTTTTGGTTTGTATGGTCAAGTTATTATATATACACAAAAAAATAAAAAATAAATAAACGATTATTCTCTAAAGCTCTTGGTGTTTCTTTTTATAACTTCTTGAACAATTCTCTCGCCTCAGTCTGTCTAAACCTAGGTGGTGGGGAATGGAAGGTGGTTTGATTTCAGTGTTAGACTGAATCTTTATTGGCCATTATTTGAAGGTTTAGGGATTTGATACTGGGCCTTTGAACTTTAGAGTACAAAAGATGGAGAACTAATTTTCTTACTAAAAGCAGTCTGATATTTAGTTGCATCTTTTGTAGTGTATTAGGCACCCTTTTGCTTATTTTTAATTGTGATAAAATGTTTACCGTTTCAATCATTTTTAAGTGTATAGTTCAGTAGGTATTGTTTTTGCCTTTTATTGCTTAAAATGGTAAATATCAAAATTATTTCAGTTACTTGAAAATAGGTCAATTTATATAGATAGAACTTTTACATGGATGATTTATTTATATTCCAAATAATGGCCCGTTATTTTTTGTTTTTTCTTTTAAGGCTCTTTAAAATAGTTTGACAGCTGATCACTAATTTAAATTGCATTAGATGACGTGAATTGTTTTGTTTTTAGGATACAAATGGCTCCTACCTTAATTAATCTATAGTCCAATTAATAAGGTAACCTTTCAGAAATTTGCATTTTGTAATTCTTTTGGCTAAATTGTTATTAGCATCAATGTGAAATATAATCTCAGAAAATTTCTACATGAAGCTTTTGTACCTTCTGTTTTATTAAAGTGATGAGGGACTCAAAAAGGATTCAAGTATTTAATGGAGCTGCTTTTTAAAATTAGAACCTTGAAATCTAAGGAGTCCCTTCAGTTTTAACACTTTTTCTACCCCAAGAAAGTAACTGGATGCCTTGGGCTGCATACATACCTACTCCTAATGGTATTTTCTCTTAATTGTCAGAGCCTCTGCTACTGGCACTAACTTGGATTTTAAGTTGGTGACTTTAACATACCTGAGTGACAGTGTGGTTGTGGTGGTTGCATGCACATTTGTGAGTTAACCACTATTGAAATGATGCTGCTTTTAAGAGTTTTCAAAGTGTAATAGATTTTTGAAATTTCAAATAACTAGAAAATTTTTAACTTTTGCTTTTAAAAGTGTTTTGGAAAGGCTGAAACAAAATGAAAAGTATAAAACTAATCATTTGGTTTTGAAAAATACAAAACTTCATTTACTCTTCTGTAATCCTCACTGTTTAACTGCAGTAACACTCGAATAAAAATTTTTTCATAATTGTAGGAATTCTGGCTAATACTCTATCTTTGTACATTCGAACAAAGTGATATGGAATGTTTGTGAGTTATTTTCTATACCATCAAAAATCTGCCAGTGAAGACTGTAAAGACGGAATACACTTTTTTCGAGGATACAAATTGTTTAAAATTTTATAATTGGGGTGAGTAATAACAAGTTTGTACAATTTTTTAATAATAAATACCTATTTTGAAAAAAATGCTTAAAAGTCTCATAAAATTCATTATAAAATTTTTGGTATATGTTCATATAACAACATAGCAACAAGACATAAGAGGACAGTTTCTTAGCTATAAAAGTAATTAGGACATTTTAACATTTTAAGCAGAAATGAAATAGGAAATGAAATCTGGGGCAAGCTAATATCTTTAATGCATTAATTTCTGTTGATGTCAGCACTTCAAGTGTGTCAAACTGAAGAATAGTAAGTGAAAAATTAGTTATATTGTTCTTTAAATGTTTTGGTTCTGATAACCTTTTAAAAGCTAGGTACCAGGTTGTAAAACCACAGCAGCTAGCTAATCGGTGCTGTAGAACAGTTTTCTGTAGAAGATAGAAAACTGATTCTAACAAATTGCTAGAATATTAGACTAGGAATGGACTTTAGAGATTGTGTCACTTGACCTCTTTATTTTATACCTGAGGAGATTCTTGGTCAAGGAGTCAATTATATGAAGTCACAGTTATAAAATAGTGTCTGATCCAAAATTTGGGATGCCTGACTCCCTAACCAAATGTGCTTTAACATTCAACGTAATGGAATGTAAATCTGAATATTTTCAGTTTTCCTGGGAGAAATTGGTAGGAAGCTCCTAATGTTAATATCGCCACGATCTCTTCTTTGGGGGGAATTATTTTCGCAGTGAAAACATGTTTTTCCAAGTTAATTCTCTGATGTCATGGGCCATTTCTCATTCGTTTCAAAGTACATAATGGTTACTCAAAATTTTCAATATCCATACATATTTCACAGCAGCATTCGTATGGAACTTTTTGGCATAAAGTTTACTCCTTGATTATGTATTTGATACATTAACTTTCATTAAAGCCCAAGTATTCTTGAATCTAATTTCCCAAGAACTAGGCCTCCCCCTCCAGAGTTTCCCTATGTGCTTTTTGTTAGGCACTGAATTGTGTCCCCCTTCAAATTCATGTTGAAACCCTACCCCCGCCCCTACTTCAGAATGTGACTGTGGAGAGAGGGCTTTAAAGAGGTAAATTAAGTTAAAATGAGGGCATTAGGATGGGCCCTAATCTAATCTAAGTGTCTTTATAAAAAGAGATTAAGACATACAGAACCCCCCGTGGAATCTCATACACCCAGCCAGTCATCACAGCCCTTTATTTTGGTACCCGTTGGGATCAGTTATTCCATTCTCAGCTTTCAGCATTTTGAGCAGCTAATCCAGACAGGATATTCAGTCTTCTTTTTCAAGTTGAGATATAATTGACATATAACATTGTGTAAGTTTAAGGTATACATATGTTCATTTAATAGTTATAACAATATGACCACCATAACATTAGCTAACATGCCGATCGTATTTGTCATATAATTATTTCATTTTTGTGGCAAGAACAATTAAGATCTAGTCTCTTGGTGACTTTGAAGTTTCTGACAGTATTGTTGACTATAATCCTTATGGCTTAAAAGGTTTATTCTGTCTCACATAAATTCATGGCTCCTGCTAATGAATTCTCTACTGCCCAGACTAATTTGAATGTGCTGTGGCCTGCCTGAACTCATGGTGGGCACACTGGGAAGAGCATGGATGCCTATATCTGGGAGCTGTGAGGAAGGGTAGAAGATCAGAAAATGAATGAGCTGGAAGAAGCTAGACCCACTAAGTGTGCGTTTGCTCCCTAGTTCTCTATGGACTATGTTTTCAGCGACTGAACCAGACCTCAACTTTTTAAAAAACTTTAAAATAAACGAGCTGTCTCACTGGGAGCAGGAGACCATGTATAAGATTCCCTAAAATGACTAATATGTATTGTTAGGGCCAAGCCTAGGATTCTGGAGGACTAATTTCAGGGACAAGATTGAAGGCTCCTTCTCTTGGAAAAAAAAAAAAACTCATCTTGCTTTAATGCCTGAAGGTTTTCAATGGAGTAGAGCTACAAAATTTTTCTTCCAAACCAGCTCTCCCACTGAATTCTTTCAATGATGTATACCAGTGATTTTACTGAATAAAGATGATGCTTTTAACCTCTTGTATGCTATATATGTCTACAGTCTACGTGCACTTGGAACAAAAACCTTATAATCATCGAGATAGGTCTTAAAATGAACATTCTAAGGGGAAGTTAACATTTGAGAAATTCATTCACTTGATCTCACATCAGCCTTTGATTTGGTAGGACTGAGCACTTGACCACTGAGTGATGCTGAAATTTGAGATGCAAGTGACAAATCCTCAGCATTTTAAAGTAGTCAAAGGCCAGTCCTATTCATCTTCAACTGCATGTACAAACAAGCAAGGTACTGAGGCTTGAGGGGTTACATACAGCCATGACAGAGACAAGCTTTTGATGAACACATTCTAACCAGCTTTGTTTTATAGAAAGCCCAAATGAAGCTTACCTATCAATGTCTGATACTCAAGAAATATATCCTGTGTTTCAAGATTCTACTTATTGATACTGATTTCAACATAGTTAGTTTTCTGAAAGCTTTGGTTACTCCAAAACAGAGAGTTTACTTTTTCCTTTTGCTCATATGGGGGGAAAAATAACTTGCAATGGATATTGTTAACTGAAAAAAAAAAAAAAATCAAGGAACCAAGGTGTATGCTAAGATTCCAATTGCGCACGTGTGTGTATGCTGAATTCTTAACCATGTACATTTATTTCTTCTGTATGTAAAGGATAAATTATAATAAAAATGAACATAACCAAACTTCTGGGAATTTATACACCAGAAATTAAAAGTACAGTGCATAAACTATGTATTATGGATATTTAATGCAGCACTACTTGGGGTTTTAAAAAAACTGCAAACAATCTGAAATATCCATCAATAGGGGAAATAGTTGAATAAATTATCATACATTTATGCAATGATAGTTAAAAAACTGGTTTGCAGGCAACAGAAACTTGCTAGTGTATACAAATAGAATTGGTTGGAAGTACAGCTGACTTTGAGCAATGAAGAGGTGAGGGGTGCTGACACCCATGCAGTCAAAAATCCACGTGTAACTTTTGACTCCCCTAAGACTTTACAGTTGTGCCTCAGTATCGATAGGGGATTGGTTCCAGTACCCTCACAGATACCATATTTTGTAGATGCTCCAATCCTCTACATATAGCTGATCCTCCACATCCTTGGACTCCGAAGCATGGATGAAAAAAACAGTACAGGTATCTATTGACAAAAATCCATGCATAAGTAGACCTGTGCAACTCACACCAATGTTTTTCAAGAGTCAAGTGTATACTGATGTTATTTGCTTCTGGACATTTCTCCTTATGCATTTGATTTTTACATAGTGTAATTATATATGCAATTTAGTATTGTTTTTATTATCCAAATTTAGTTATATTTAGTTATAAATTTTTCTTCTGTTGCTAGAATCAAGCCATAGCATATAAAAACTGCACTGAGTACATAATGATAATTTACTTTTAGACTATTAGCTTTAATTAAATTTACTATTTCCCTATTAGAGGATATTTAGGTTGAATCCAATCTGTTCCCTCTACACTATTATGTGGCTTTAACCAGGGGAAGCAGTGGAGATGGTGAGAAATAGTAGGATTCTGATATATTTAGAAAGGAGAGTCAACAATATTTGCTGATGAACTGGGTACGAGATATAAGAGGAAGTGGAGTCAGAGATATCACCAAGGTTTTTAGCCCTAGCAGGTGGAAAGATGGAGTTGTTATCAACTGAGATGGGGGAAAACATAGAGGGGTCTGGGAGTAAGATTGCGAGTTCAGCTTTGGATATCTTAAGTTTGAGGTATCTCTCGATAGTCACAGTTGGATGAGTCTGGAGTTAATGAGAAATCTAATGATAGCTGTAAATTTGGGAGTCATCCAGCATACAGGTGGTATTTAGAGTCATGAGACCGGGTGAGATCACCAAGGAAGTGAGTGTAGATACGTAATAGGAATAAGAACTGAGGCCTGTGGCTCTCTAATGTTAAGAAGTTAGAGAAAAGAAAGGAAGAAGTTGAGAGACAGCGAATGAGGTGAAAGAAAATGTGTAATTATATATGCAATTTAGTATTTCAATTAGAAATTATTCTTTTCTGATAGTTAAAAAAGATAGTGGTCACCGAAAATTAAATTCTTGGTCTACGATATTCTTTTCATCATTGAGGCAGACAAAATTTTAGAAGTCACCTTGATATTAAAGAATATCAATTTGAATAAAAACATTTTATCCTCAAGGTTGTATATAATTGTTTTTTTAGAATTGCATTCTCTATATAAGATTAAAAAATACAGTGCATAGATGATAAATAATAGATGTATTGGTTTCCTAGGGTTGCTACAAATTATCAAAGGCTGGGTAGCTTAACAGAAATTTATTCTCTCACAGTTCTGAAAATCAAGAAGTTCAGAAGTCTGAAATCAATCAGGGTGGTCCTTTCTGGAGGCTCCATGCCTCTCCTAGCTTCTGGTGGCCCCTCATATCCTTAGGGGTTCTTTGGCTTGCTTTACTCTCTGCATCTGTCTTCATATGTCCCTCTCTGTTTCAAATCTCCTCTCTTATAAGGACACAGTCATTGGATTTAGGGCTCAGATGAAAACCAGGACGATCTTATCTGAGATCTTTAAATCTACAAAGATTATATTTCCAAATATGGTCACATTTATAGCTATACTAGGTTAGGACCTGGATACACCTTTGGCAGGGACACTCTTAAGCCCACTCTTAAGGGTTGCAAGATTAGCAATAAATTTCTTGCCAATTCTTAAAATATACAGATAGAAGTTGTTGCTAAGTCCTAGTTTTGTGGTAAGAAGAGATAAAAAGCTCTAAAAATAAATGTAAGAAAGTATTTTTTTCAAATTAACTTGGAGAGCGTACCAATTTTATCACTCATTTTTATTGATAAAGTAGGCTCCTTTGCACTACATACTTTCAGACATAAATTTAAGGTTCTGCTTAAAAGTATGGGATGAAAAACTGTTGCTATATAATAAAGTAAATGTCTTTAAACACCAAGATCTTAAAATTATATCCAAGTAGGAAGACTATGAATAAATTAACTTATTTACAAAAATAATTATTTACCAAGTAATGTTTTATAATAGAGCTGCCTCAGTTAACTACCTCAGACTTAATCTCAACTGTATAGCTTATTTTCTTTAATTCTAACTTGGGATAAAAACTATATGAATGAATGTGCCATCAAATTAAGGGATACTTTCTGAAAAAAAAAAAAAACAATAGAAAAGTTAAAAAATAAAAACTGCCATTTATTTATAAGATATTAAGGCCTCTGAATGAGAAAAAAAATTAACATAATGTTTGGGCCAATAGCCCTGTTCTATTTAATCAGCCCTATAAACCCCACTTACCCCAAACTTAAGATAGAAAAATTCTGAAAAGTAGTTCTGAATTTTACCAATACACAAAATTATACACAAAAATTTCCTTGTACATATTCAACAAATTATATATTCAAAAGTAAATTTTCTGTTGTGCTAATTTTAATCTGTATTTAATATAAATGAGTATATTTAATCATATGTGACACTCTTCTTTTAATCCTTCTATACTATAATCACAAAGTAAGAAAAAATTGGATTTCAATTGATATTAAAGCACATTTCTATTTCTGGTGGCTTTAAAAAATTTACATACTGGATTTACATATTTTATAAAAAAATAAAACAAATACTTCTAACTCCATAGGCTTTTTTTATCCTGCTTTTGACTGAGAGGTTATAAGAAAAACCTTACAGGTTATGAGGACCAGATAGTGCTTAAGAATAGATCTAGAAAATTTTTTTGAAATTTTAATTTACTTTTTGTATCCCTTAAGAGTATGAGGGTCCTGTGAGGCAGAGAATTTCCCAATTTATTTTGAAATAACCATACCTAGCTTGCTATATCAAACATTTCTACTGTTACCTAAAGGATCTATATAATATCCTTAAAGATCAACCAGAGAAGAGAAAAATCTCATCTTCATTATTGATTTAGAACCAAAACTTATTTTTTCAAAGGAGTAGTTTAACCTACTAAATATGTCTCTTATAAGATCTTCTTTCTTAGAAAGTAGTATTCTTTCTCTTTCATTCCTGAAATGATATTTCATATATTTAGCAAGTTATAGACAATTGTTAGCTGAGTAGTAATTATGGTAAATCAGCTAAACTTACCTCTTTTTTTTTACGGTGCTTATAAAACATTTCTACAGCCTTTCAAACTGAATCTTCTTTGACAAAAATTTAAATTAATGGGAAGGCAGATAGGCAATCATTAAAGCTGAAGTCTCCTGGTACATAAGTTGTTTGCTAACTTTGACATCAAACAGGGAGGATAAAATTTAGTATGATGATCTTCCATTCACCAAACTGTGGCAAAATCTATATTTTAAAATTGAGATAATTTTATGAATTCCCAAACATTTATTGGGAATCATGTTTATCCAAGTATCATCCAGAAAGGCAACAATACTACTACTGAAAGCTCTTAATATGTTCAGCAGTCACTGTGAAAATCTTCAATTTGTTCACCAATTAACAAAGGCTTAGTTTTTACTTTTCGATTACATTTTGGAACAAAGTCTTTAACCATGAACTATGCATTTTGGTTCCTATCTCTTAAAAATATCATTGCCAGTGCCCTGTATATGTTACAAAAAAAATGGGGGAGAGGGTAGCTTTAGATTGATCTTTCTGTTAATTCATTCACTTTAGCAGTTCAGTCCCAGCAACGGGTTTGGAGCCTTGTAAAGAAGCTCAGAGAAGCTCTTCAGTTCTTCCTCAGACTCAGGTCACTATTGGTCACTAATGCTGACAAAGATGTACTTTCTGACACATCGTCTTTTCTAAGGTTCAAAAATGATTCTCGAGTTATTTGAAGGATCTCTCTCAAGCCTTTGTTTTCTTGCTATAAGAAGGCAAACAAAAACAAAGATGTAGTCATCAAAGTAGGGACAAGAGTACAAACATACCTTAAGAAAAACCAAACATATGACAAAAACAAAGCAAGTTCTGTAACCAGCAGAAATGGACTAAGTAATATATACAGTTGAAGTTTACAACTTGAATCCAGGAAACACTTTTTTAAAGAGGTAGGAATTGTGTTCAATTGTGGTCTTCCACCACTGCAAACCTTATTCTAAATTCACAGTATAGATGAAGAAAATAACATCTAGATTTATATTTTTATAAACTCAGAAAGTTTATGAATAATACCCTGGGACTAGAACTTCTTAGTTCTTTAGTACTTTTATTATTTAGTGTGGAATGCAGGACAAGCCATCTGGTTTGCTTCCCTCACTGGAATTTGACAGCAGCAGGGCTGGCTGAGTAGATGGTGATATTTTTCAAGAAGGAAAGTAAGTGAACAAATCTAGCACTGGTAAACAACTTTGCCTTTTTCTTCCCCCTAGATTAGTTACTGTAAGAAATTTGCAGACATTTAAAAATAACTTTCGTAATTTATTCTCTACTACTTTGTCTTTGGTCTTACTTTCTAAGTTTCAATGGTATAAAAAACAGGGATTAGCAAACTACGGCCTGGCTTGAGGTCTGTTATTGTAAATTAAATTTTACTGGAACATAGTTAAATCTACTTTTTTGTGTGTATGTCTTCTTTTGCATTACAATGGCAGAGTTGAGCAGCTGCAACAGAGACTACCTGGTTTGCAAAGCCTAGAAGATTTACTATCTAGCCCTTTAAAAATTTGCTTACTTCTGTTATAAAGAATGAAAGAACTCTGTACACTTAGGGAAACAATTTTTGGCCCTCTATAACTAATTTCTCCACCATGATTTCAAAATGAAGCTTTTAAAGCATAAAGGTCTATTCTACTGATTTGGATTATTATTCTACTTGTGTGTTCACTACCACAAAATAAAGGATGGATGAGACAAAGATTTATATTCCTCAGAAAAATACTAGTGCTCAAAGAATATTATTTGTGGATTAAAAAAATTTTCCCTGCATTATTGTGACCTCTAATAGAATGAAGAAATTTTAAACATTACTAAATTGAAGAAGTATTTCACCCAAAAACAGAAGCAACATAGGATCAAATTTTCTCAAATACTGGTATAATTTACTGTTGATCCTGGACTCTGGCATTAGTATATAAATGGTCTTGTGTTATATAACCATATAACCAGTATCCAGATCAAGAAAAAGAACATTACCAGTATCCCAGAAAAGTGCACATGCACACATGCGCATGCACACACTTTAAAACGGGGTATAAATCTTTGGCATAAATCTTTGGGCAATTTTCACCTAATTTGCAATTTTATACTTACTTCAAGTTGAAATATTCTTTCCTGTTCCTTGCAACCCTGTTGCTCATCAATTTCAATGGCTTTCTTCATTACTGCTGCCATTTCAGTTATCTGGTCAACATGAGCTTGTAATTCCTGAAAAAAAGAAATGGGAGTTGCAAATCAGTGAAATACTTTTTTTTTTTTTTTTTTTTAATTTTTGGATTGTCTCCTTTTTATAAAACCTGCATTGACACTTAATATGAATGTTATATTCTTACACTGTATTTAACATGACTGAAATATATCAAACAGATATTTACAAGAAAGCTGACTGACCATGAATGTGCTTTTGAAAGCAAATTTCTGTTAGGACTAGAATTAGAGAAAAGCAGCAAAGTGTTACTAAACCCACTAGCAGGAAGAGTAGTCATATTTCATATTCCTCTCACCACAAATAATCAGCAACTTTTTCTTTTTTGTATCTACATATACTATTGATCAAAGTAATGGGAAATATAAAAATTGTTGACATATTCAATCTCTTTTCCCCTCAAATTTAGAAATCTTTTTTGTATTTACCACGCCTAAAAATTGATCTCAATTCAATCTAGGACATTTTCTGTCTTGTAATCCTCTTTGAGAGCAGGAACTGTACCTTGTTTATATTTCTCTATTAGTGTTCAGTACAAAATAGATAGTAAATATTGAGTAAAATGAACAGTTCTGCTTTTAAGAATTAAAATATTAAATGATCTTCTTTGCAAACTGTTCAAATATAATTTCAGTATAAAATAGATATCCATTTTTTTTTTTTTTGCTTAACAAGTAATATAAATTTCTTCCAATCTCATTCTTTTTTTTTTTTTTTTTTGGAACACCAACAGTGTGCCAGACATTGTGCTAGGCAATAGGAATATGAATCCTGTTAAGACATGTTCCCTGATTTCAAGGAGCTTACAGTAAAGTGAAAGAGACAGACAAAAGGTTTAAAATCAACAGAAACTTGAGAATAATTATTTTTTACTTTGCTTATAAAGACCATCATTCACTGGCAATCAAGGGTTATTTTATTATAGTAAGGACAAAAATTAAATGTAAGTTAATAACTCTGCAAATAAATATTGTCTCTTAAATAGCTGTATTCCCTATTTGTAAAAAGGATTTGAATGAGACACCAAAAAACCTACAAAACTAGTTAACTGTTAGAAATAAAGATGGAGAACAAATAGGAATATCTTTAGCAAACACAAACTTAGCATCTTTCTAACCAATAAAAATGCAGGATCTTATACTATTTAATGAGGAAATTTATATAATGCTAGTATACAGGAAGAAGGCAAAATAAAGGACTAATTGACACTGTTGAATATGGTGCTATTTAAATTTATATTAATTAAAATCAAATACATTTAAAAACATTAACAATTCAGTTCCTCAGTTGCACTAATGATACTTCAAGTACTCAATAGCCACATGTGGCTGGTAGCTTCCATATTGAACAGCACAGATTTTAAAAAATTTCCACCATTTCAGAAAGTTCTATTGGACAGCCTCGGATTAGATTATGGTAGCAAGAATGTTATCAAGACAAACATCTGTCATATTCAGCAATAGTTAATGACTAAATTCCTCCCAATATAAAGGGAGCATAATGTTTAAAAGTAAGCGAAGTACAGACTAAGTGCAGCAGCAAAATGAATAAGGGTACTGAGTAAAAATTTTGAATTACAAGTTTTCTCAGTTTACAATTTGGTATCCTAGGGCACTGACCTAGGTTAAAAGACTACACAGGAAGCAAATAATTTTTTGCCTTTAAAATAGAAGAAAACAAGATACTACTAATTTTTTGAGTTCACAGTGTGTTCTAATAAAATCATCATGAGGAAAAAAACCCACAATTCTTCAAACAAAACAGTATTTTTATAGGCCCAGTACATGGATAGTTCACTTATTACAATATTACTTTGGGGGAAGTATCACAGATCTTTACTGGGCATAAGAGGCCAAGTTCTGTGCTTTCAAAACTGTCTTAAAGGTACGAAGGGTTAGCAACATAATCCTTGAACTGTGTTAAAATGCTTTTCATTTGTAACTTTTGTTTTAGGTTTATTTCAACTTTGCTCAATAAAGACCTGCCACAAGTTAGGGGGAAAAAAAGACAGCTATGAAACAATAGAATGTACTATTATACTAAATCATAACACCTGAACAAATTTAATTTTATTGTAAACTCACAAACTATCAAAAATCTGAATTAAAATAGTTCACTTAACAGTGTGATTGAACAAAATTAGTATGAAATCAGATTAAAAGTACTGCCCAGAAAACATCTTTAATGTCCAGAAAGAGGATAACTGGTTAAGCTTACTAAAATTTTGCAGCAACGGCTGAAAAGAGCCACAAAATGAAAAGCTGGCCTGAATAACCTTTAAAGCCTGCCATTATCTAACAAGATGTGTGTGATACAATGCACAGAGAATTAATGACAGATTTAACATTTCTAAACAGAATATTTCTGCACGGGTATTGAAAGCACAGCATTTAAAAGAGTAATTTCATTTATTTGCTGATTTAATCTGGCGGAAAAATGCAATGTAAAGAAACTTTTTAAATGGACCCCCCTTCCATCCACACCCCAAAAGTTGACTGCTTTATTTAGTGTACATTCTGATTTGCTTCCAAGTGTCTCCTCTCCAGTCCATGTTGAGGTGCTTCAAGGATGCGTCGAGATGCATCAAGGAAGAATCCTTCGGAGTTGTTACGATGTACCATGTCAATCTGTAGTACAGAGTCATTATAATGTTAATACGGACATTATCCGTAATTTAAAAACTGAATGAGTGTTAGTTCATGCGTGTTAGCCAACTGGTTGAAATGTTTGCTTTTTTAAGATTTCCAAAAAGGCGTCTGTTCAAAAATAATGTAAAATGAGTACTTTCATGAAAATGAGTACTTCTTAAACTTTTTTTAAAATGTGTTCAAAAATTTTCAGATTATTGAAAATTCTATATTACAGTAGTTTCTTATTTCTTAGTAGGGTCTCTTATTCCAAAATGTTATTATGTATGACTCTGTTTGTCACTCCTAAATGTGTCATAAAATTATTTTTGTGTTTAGGCATAACAGAGCACTAGTACCTAAACACGTCCTTGAATCTCATATTTCTGTGCCTTTATCATATAAGTTTCTCTGTTCACCTACTTCTGCTTGTTGACATGATTTCCCAATAATTAATTCAAAGCTGGATTTAGATGGATTTCTTCCTTTGCTTGGCATCTTCTCAAATTCTCTTTATCCTCTAATCTTGTTTCCTCTAGTATTCCAGTAATAATTCACATCTCTATTTTAGGATTCATCACATCCTACCTTATATCAATACTTATATTTTTATCTGTATCTCCCATTACACTGTAAGCTCCTATGATAGAGTAATAAAACTTATTCATTCATTCATCTTATTATTAATAATAACTAAGCCAGTATAAATGTTAATAAATGTTTGTTTTAACTGAGTCAAAGTGTCTCCTTTTTGGGAAAAATCAAAATCACAAACATTAATATGTATTAGTTAGAATTAATAACAAGTAACTGAATAGTCATTTTATGGAAGGCAAAGACCAGCACTTACAATGATGAATTCAATTTACAGAATGAAAAAAGATGGTTTATAGCTGCCTTAAGAAATGCTTAACTTTGCTAATTAATAAAACAGCTGTGGTGAGTGGTAAGATCTAATGTGTTTTAGAAAACGTTGGCTTCTGTCATAGCTACTACCAGATGGAACTAACAAGCTGCAGTATCTTATTCTAAGCAGTTTTTTGTCATACTAGTCCTTCTCTTTAGATCTTAAAAAATTAATTTCTTAGGTTTTTAAACATAAGAACATTTGGAATTCTCAAGATTTATTTTTACCAATAATTTTAGTCAATTCATTTTTGTAACCTTTAAAAATACCAAAAGTTATACATTTATTTTCATTTATTTATTTGTTCGTTTGTTTATTTTAGGCAAAGCAACCCTTGGTTGATCTCACAGATTGCAAGGACCTTGTCAGCTTACAATCCCTTATTTTTTATGCCTACAGTACCTGGTCTTCCTAGGTGGTTTCCCATCCAAGTACTAATCAGGCATGACCTTGTTAGCTTCGAGATCAGACGAGATCAGGCTAGTTCAGGGTGGCATGGCCATAGACCCAAAAGTTATACATTTAAATTTAAATGTTTTTATAATAATCTCATTTAATAATAGACACATTTTATATTAAAAAAAATTTCACTTAAACATCCAAGCTTTTCCTTTTGGTTAGGAGATGAATAGCATGATTAGCTAATATTAAACTCATTTATTAATTAATTATTTTGCTATTTGACACAAGAGGTATCTGTTACTAATTTCCCGAATATGTAAAGTTATCACATAAAGATTAAGTAGGTATTTAATTTTAATAGAATTAATCTTAATTTTAAAATACCTACAATCATCAAGATGGAAGAAATATTTTAAAGAATCTACAATGTGTTTCAGTAATTGAGAAAGATAAAAATGTCTTATTACAATCAATATTTCTTAAAAAATATTAGTTATAACTAATAATAAGCTCACCAGCCTAGTAATCATAATCTATTCTAATATTTTTATTTCACATCAGCAGTTAAAATTCAGTTTAAAACAAAAGGTAAATAGTAAATAATTGTCTTTGTAGCAGTTGTTAGCAAACACCGGGACATACACAAAGGCAACAAACACAGGGATGACAAGAAGTAAGATGGCAGGAAAAACATTAATTTCTAATCAGTTCAGCTCTGTCTCTAAAAATGATGCTCCCGATAATATGACATGAGGGGAGGGGAGTAAATTTTTAATATATTGGTTCACTTCCTCTCTCTGACCCTATAATTTTTCCATTATAATCAGGATTATTTTATAGCCTGAACGAAATAGCCTCATTTCAAAAATAGTTTTAAGAAAAACAAATCTACCTTTGGCTGCTTTCAGATTTTTAAGAAGTTCTTAGCATTTCAGTTTTTGTTTGTGCAAGAGAAAGCAATAAAGAAATCTATTAGGATATTTCTTAAAAGTACATAACCTTATAAAAATAATTTTGAATTGAATACTTACCTTTATTTTCCAAATAAAGGTTTTTTTTAATATATATTAAAGCTGCTAGGAAAAATGGGATTTAGAAGTGTAAATCAAGCAAAATGATACATAACAAGAAATGAAAAACATAAGAAAAAGTAGCAAATGTCAAAAAGATGAAGTATTCAACATCATGATAGAGACCAGTGATTTAAAAAAAATCTGAACTCAAGTTAACTGTCCTTCTTTTTCATTTCAAATTATATTTATAGAATAAATTACCTTGGAGTGCTGCTCTTTCAACTTCATTATTATACCTGGATCATCTTTTTTGCTAGCCATTAGCAATCTGAACATTTGCTCACGATATTTGCTCATTATAAGTTCTAAGGCAGACTGATGTTCTTCCAGGGATGTACGTAATTCTATCAAGGATAACAGTGTATTTTATTCAAACATTCTCTTCCATATTTATCTTACATTCTATTACATTTATCAAAAAAACAACTTATAAAGAGGATATTTTAAAAAGAAAACATGATGTATAGAAATCTATCTATATAGAAATAAAGCATACCAAATGAAGTCCTTTGTTAGTTTTTTAAATGATCACTTTAAATTCAGTTTTTGAGAATTATTTCAACAAATATTTACTGAACAATTACATATCAGATGATGATCTATATTAGGAATACCAAAAGGCCATAGAGCTCAGAGTCTAGTGGAGAAAACAAATATATAAATAATTATAATACAACATGGTTAGAGTGGAGCTCTACTCAAATATATATGAGAAGTCTGTGGGGAGAAACTGGTGAAAGCTTCACAGTAGTATTGAGATGAATTTGCACTTCTTAAGGTGAAAAATAAAGGAAAGGGTATTCTAAGCAGGGAGGTGTGAAAGTGGATGATATGTTCAGAAACTAGTTCGGGATGGCAAGAGCAAGGGTTTCATGGAGAAGAGAGGTATGGGAAGAAGACAAAAAAGAAGGCTGGAATTGACTTTTGAGGCCATTGGATAAAGAAATAAGTATACAATAAGTCCTCACTTAACATTACTGATTGCAACTTTAAGCAAATTGATGTTTAACAAAATTGATTTTACCATAGGCTAACTGACATAAATAAGAGTTAAGTTCCTATGGTATCTCATCAACATTATAATGAAACAAAATGTTGTTAACTGAGGACCAGATATACAATGAAGGTTCTTAAACAAAAGAATAATATGATCAGATATGTTTTTGAAAAATTAATGTGATGCCTGTGTTGAAAATGGATTGCAAGGGAAAAAGAAAATAGAGTCAGAGAAACCAATTAGAACAGTTCAAGCAAGAGACTATGAACACCTAAGCTGGAGACCAAAGCAGTGGTACAAACTAATATTTATAATGAGAATCTAAGATGACTACAAGCAAGGTAGACATTCAAATGTAGGGCGGGATAAAGAACAATAAATATGATTTAGACATATGAACTAGAAATGAGATTAATGTCAAAAAGTAAATTTAGTTTACTGTTTTCCCATTTTTGAAAATATTAAAATATTAATTGATCCCAACTTGATAGTATAATTGCAGATTAAAGTTCTCTTGATTTGCTATACATAGTGATACTATATCTTGCCTTTGTTCTCTTGCTGCAGTTCTCTGATTTGTCTGTTTTCTTGCTGTATTCCCATAACTAATGTGGACCGTGGCCGATGTCTCGCAACTTCATTAAGTTCTTGAATTTCTTCCTGATACTAATGAAAATATTAAAAAAAAAAAACACGCACACACATGGGAAGAAAATACTTGAAAATATCTATCTGAGACATATATCTGATAAGGAGATAGTATCCAGAATATATAAAGAACTCTCACAACTTGATGATAATAAGAAAAATAATTCGATTAAAAGGTGAGCAAATTAAATAATAAGTTCTGGAGATCTAATATAGAGTATGAATAACAATACTGTATTGTGTACCTGAAAATTGCTAAGACAGTGGATCTTAAATGTTCTCATCACACACACCCGAAAGGTAATTATGTGAGGTGAAGGAGGTGTTATTGTGGTAATACTTTGCAATATATAAGTGTATCAAATTATATTGTATACTTTGAACTTATACAATGTTATATGTCAATTATATCTCAGTAAAGCTGAGAAAAAAATTGAAAAGGAATTTGAAGAGACATTGCTCTAAAGAAGATATACAAATGGCAAGTACATGAAAAGATGTTTAACATCATTAGTCATTAGTGAAATGCAATTCAGCAAGAGATACACTTCATAACTGCTAGGATGACTTTAATAAAAAAGACAAATAATAACAAGTGTTGAAAAGAATGTGTAGAAACTATAACCCTCATATATTGTTGATGGGAATGTAAAACGATGTAGCCACTCTGAAAAATTCTGGAAGATTGTCAAAATGTTAAACAGAGCTATTATATGATCCATTCATTCCACTCTCAGGAATATACCTAAGATAACTGAAAATATGTCCACATAGAAACCTGTATATAAGTATTCATACCAGTATTATTTATAATAGCTAAAACACAGAATCAATCCAAATGTCCAACTGATAAATGAATTCACAGAATGTAATGTGTCCTTACAATGGAATATTATTAGGCAATAAAAAGGAATGAAGTACTGATACATGCTATAATATGGATGAACATTTAAAATATGTTAAGAAATCAGTCACTAAAAGCCACAGACTGTATGATTCCGTACATATGAAATGTCCAAAATACACAAATTCATAGATATAGAAAGATTATTGGTTGCCAGGAGCTTGGAGAAGGGAGGCACTGGCTTTTGCGGTGATAAGAATATTCTGGAATTAGTGAATATGCTTGCATAACCTGTGAATATACTAAAATCCAATGAACTATGCCCTTCGAAGAGGTAAATTTTATGGTATGTGAATTACATGTCAATAACATATGCAAAAGAAATGCAAAATTATTGTTTCTTTTAATTTTTAATAAGTAGGAATATAACTTTAAAATTGCACTCCTTTATTTTCAAGACATTTTGATGAGCCACTTAGTAACATATTCATTATAATATTCCTGGTTCTAAATTTGGTCAAACTCCTTTTTTTACAACTAAATACCAGATATATGTCTACTGGAACGCATGAGGCAAGCTGGACAGTTAGGGAGGTTTGTAATCTGTTTAGGAACGCAGAGTTACAAAATAAAATAAGTAAATTTGCCATTATTACCAGTAGCTTTGAAAAAAGTGGTATCTCGGGGTTCCTTCCTTCTACAAAATAGAAGAGTTTCATGCGAGTAGGCTATAAATATACATCCCCCGCCTCCGACCCACACTGATTTCCATTATAATACCAGAGATTCTATAATTCTGTTAGAGTTGAAAATTTTTATAAGAGGGCTTAAAATGGTAGCTAAACTCCCATGGTCCACTGGAAAGTTCTTATATACACAGTTAAGGATAACAAGAACTGAAGCTCTTTTCATTTCTTCTTTAATTGGCAGCATTAAATAAAAAATAAGGTAGCAAGTACAAATGCAATAACTATATTAAGTTATAGAATACGTATCGTCCTGCATCACTAAAATTTTTTGTTATTGTTAAAAAACAGCACGTGAGTACTTTTATAAAGAAAAATAGAAACATTTCTACATTATAAAATATGAGACAGAATATGTGTCCATGTTAGTAAAAGATATTATCTGGTCTTTGTCAAAAGTATCTAGACATAATAAATTCATATATTTTCTTAATTCAAATGTACATCTCTGTAAGAAAAAAGTGATTAAGTCTACAGGTTTTAGAATATATATATATATATACATACACACGTCACCTGAAGATGACAAAACTATATTCTAGTCTAAAGTAAAACTGAAATACAAGTTAATCTACTTTTAAATTTTAGAGAGCATTAAAAAAATAACAATTAGGCAGAAGTTTATAATTCAAGCAATATGTAAATGTCAATAACTGCTTTTTTAAAAAATGGAATCAACAAGAAAGAAAAAAAATCAAACCTGCTTCATTGCTTCTACTCGCTTGTTGAGAGCTGTGGTTTGCTCAATCAGAGATTCTGCTGCATCGTCATGATCTCGCAATCTTTCAACAAGAGCTTTGGCATCAGCAAGTGCCTTCTCAATTGTGCAACTCATTTCTAAAGGAATATCTACAATTAAAATTAAAATCAAGACTTAAAACAAAGCCAGTATATCATCTTATTTGTTTCATGTTAACACAGACATGCTTCTGAAGCTACATTGGTTAGAGGATTGTTGTCTGGGAAGAGAAAACATCTAAGAATGCCTGGGATCTTGCTTCTGTTAGGATGGCACAAGCTTGAAAGTGAATTTATAATGTTCTAAAAAATTAGAACATATATAAACAATCTGCAGACATAATCAGAATGTATTTAAAATACTTTGAATTTATGGTGAGAAAAGTACACATCTAATGAGTACATTTTATATTGTATAAACACTGTGCTCTTCATGAGGGCACTATCTTTTCATCTGTGGAAAACGTCACTTTATTAATCTCTATTCTGTAGTTAATAAGTGTCTTTCTCTGACTATAAAAAGATCCTCAGCCTTTGCCTGATCAGGCGATCTGAGATGATGTTCACAAACACATACTATCAACCAACCAAAGTGGCTTCTATGCGTCATGCTATATCAAAGTATCAACCTTCTTCTGGAGGAACTTCTGCCACTTATATGAAGTTGCAGTATAATCCTAACTCTTGCACTTTCCTTAGCAAATGGCAAAAAAAAAAAAAAAAAAAAAAGTTTTGACTTCGAACAACACTGGCTATCACAGGAAACTGTTTTTTTAAATTCCCACCTCTTACTCTCCTCCCCTTTGGCAACCATCAACTTGATCTCTGTATCTATGGGTCTGTTTCTGTTTTCATTTGTTTCATTTTTTTTTAGACTCCACATTAGATCTATGGTATTTCTTTCTCTGACTTATTTCATTTAGAAAAATACCCTCTACATCCATCTATGTTCACAAATGGCAAGATATCACTTTTTTTTATTGCTGAATAATATTTCATTGAATATAAATACCACTTCTTTATCCATTCATTTATTGATAGACATCTAAGTTGCTTCCGTATCTTGGCTATTTCTAGTAAAGCTGCAATGAACATATGCGTGAGTATCTTTTCAAATTAATGTTTTTGTTTTCTTTGGATAAATACCCAGAAGGAGAATTGCTGGGTTGTACAGCAGCTCTATTTTTAATTTTTGAGGAACCTCCATACTGTTTTCCATAGTGGCTGCACTAAGTTACAATCCCAACAGTGTATGAGAGTTCCCTTTCTCCGCATCCTCACCAGCACTTATTTGTTGGTTTTTTAATGATAGTCATTCTGACAGGTGTGAAGTGTTATCTTGTTTTAATTTGCATTTCCTTGATTAGTGATGTTGAGCATCTTTTCATACATCTGTTGGCCATCTGTATGTCTTCTTTGGAGAAATATCTATCCAAGATTTCATATTTTATTTAAGTAGATTTTTTTGGGTGTTAAGTTGTATGAGTTTCTTATATATTTTGAATATTAACCCCTACCAGATATATCATTTGTGAATATCTTCTTCCATTCATCAGGTTGTCTTTTTGTTTTGTTGATGGTATCCTTTGCTGTACAAAACCTTTTCAGTTTGATACAGTCCCATTTGTTTATTTTGTTGTTGTTGTTGCCCTTGCCTGAGGAGACATATCCAGAAAGACATTGCTAAGAGCAATGCTGAAGAGTTTACTGCCTATGTTTTCTTCTAGGAGTTTTATGGTTTCAGGTCTTATATTTAAGTCTTTCACCGTTTTGAGTTTATTTTTGTATATGGTGGTCCAACTTCATTATTTTGCATGTGTCTGTCCAGTTTTCCCAACACTACTTATTGAATAGGTTGACTTTCCCCATTATATATTCTTGCCTCCTTTGTCATAGATTAAATGAACATATAGGTCTGGGTTTATTTACGGGCTTTCTATTCTGTTCCTTTGATATATGTGTCTGTTTTTATGTGAGTATCGTCTTGTTTTGATAACCATAGCACTGTAATATAGCTTGATATCAGGGAGTGTGAAACCTTCCACTTTTTTATTTTTCAAGATTTTGGGGGGCTATTTGGGGTTTTCTGTGGTTCCATATAAATTTTAGGATTTGTCGTTCTATTAGAAACTTTTGATGTTAAAATCAATAACTAATATGTTTAAGAGGAGCTCAAAAAATTAGAAGACAAAACATGAAATAGTCAATAGTTAGCTTCTTCAATTGGTATGCTGAGATCTTGAGTTAATAGAACTTAAGCACGAGGAATCTCTAACAACCCCAAGTCCCAATCTGTAAATGGTATTATTGGGGCCACTATCAGAAGAATACTCCTTTATGCTCTGTTACGCAACATCTACAAATTTAAAATAGGATCTGCTTCCAAATAAAATACGCTAAAGTGCCTACATAGGATCAGTTGATAGGTGATTTGACATAATACCTATACTGTGTGAAATTCAGTAAGTTGCCAAAAAGAAAAACAAAAACAAACAAACTATGCTCCCAGAATCTCCTGGGCAAAAGAATCCATAGGCATAGACTAATTGGAACAGAGCCCTGAATCTAGATGGAGTCATTCTAGATCATCATAAATCTTTCCTTTTGAAATATGAAGAGGTTATGCTGTGTTGTGGGGATATTAATTCAGCAATATGGCAGTAAGGACCCACTGCCTATTAAATCCTATGCCATAATTCAGTAGCTAAGGCTTAGTATCCTTGCCTCAGAGCAATCACAGGCCTCAACTAAATTAGTCAAAGCATCTTCAGAGCCTGCACTAGGTCTTTAAGCCTAATGTTACCATATGTAGCAAATCCCTATTGTTAAAGGAAATCCTAAAATTTCTACTAGTTGAATAATTATGAAATATTGTTATTTTTTCCTTTTCATATTACCAGCCAGTGGTGTAACAGTCTTATCACAATGACTATACCTGTTGAAGGAAAATTTCATGACTATGTTTCTATAAATCAAGAAGTGTCCAAACCCAAAACAAAACTTTTGAATTCTCTATACCAAATCTTGATTTTATTGTTTGTCAATGGCTTAAAAATTTTTTTTGGTCATTGGCCCCTTTAATTGGTTAAGAGCACAAAATGTAACAGGCAGGGCTGTTTAAAACAAATTTAAAAGCTCTGTTCTTCCCCAATTCTCCCCAAGTCAGATATATATACATCCATAAAAACGTTATGTGAAGATGTCATACACAAGAAATTTAACAGGTTTTTATTAAACACAAAAAGTGACAATGCCAGGCTTGATATACATAGGTACTTCAGTCACTGTGGTAAAATTCAATTTCTTACCAGAAGCCAAACTGATCAAATGACTTAACTGTGGCCCTGCAAGACAGAGTGTCTAAAATAAAAGAGTAAATTTATATACTGATACCTAGATTGTTTTTGGAATGATTCATATCTTTGAAATTCTGCAAAGAAAAAAAGTTCCTCGGATATGCCTTAAGAATAACAAATACATTAACTACTTGATGGCTTGATGCTACCTAAAATAATAAAAGTAGAGATAGGGAGGTAAAAAAGATACTATACAAGCTAGAATAATATACTATAGATACTACGTAACAATATTAAAGTACTCTATAAACAGTCTGCTTTGGCTAAATGTCCTTATGCAAGGGCCTCATATAAACAAAATCATAACAAATTAATGGAGAAGTTCAAAGATTCCACCAAAGACACACAAAATCTGGCCTGATAAATTCCAAAAAGAAACATGATGATCAAGTTATAAAAACCATGAGATAAGAGCCGCCACTATCAGAACGGCTACCTGATAACACCAGATAAAATTTCAAATGGCAACTGGAAACTAAAGAAACATTTCATATAATAGGAAAAAAAAACTAGCCACAATATTAAATAGAAAATTTCTTGGATAGCAAATGATGTGACCCAGTGCATGCCTTACTTATAAATAAACTAATCTGGAAAAACTGTAAGGGTGAAACAAGCACTAAAACCATTCCTAAAGGATTTTCCGAACATCTCCCAGTGGATTTTATAGGGTTACCTCTCTCCATTGTTTAGGAATTTGTAACATTCCTGAATGTACTAGTAGTAGACTAGTATGTTTGTGTTATGGATAGGTTTAAAAAGTCCCCTGTTGAAAAGCCATAATATTTATAATGGTTAAAATACTATTATAGTTTGTGTGTCCTAACAAAGACATTCTAATTTATCAATCAAGTAATATGGAAACATATTTAACTAGAACAGTTATTTATGAATTTAAATTATGGTACATTTTGCCTCCTTCTAAGGAATCTTCCTGTTTTCATCATTCCCAGTACTCAGCAACTCCCAAAAGGATAAATCCAAGAAGGTCCAAGTTCAGACATATTGTAAGAAAAATCTTAAAAGGCCAGTAGAGAGTGGAACACTTAAAGTGCTAAAAGAACAGAACTGTTAGCCCTGAATTCTAATCTGAAATAAGAATCATTCTCAGATGAAGAAGAAAAGAATTCATTTCTAGTAGATCTGTTCTAAAAGAAATTCTTCAGAGAGAAGCAAAATATCAAAAGGAAACTTAGAGTATTTGCAATAAAGAGTAACAGAAATCAAATATCCAGGCAAATATAATAAACTATTTTTTGTCAGTGCTTTAAAGTATCTGATGTTTGAAAACAAGGACTATAACTTTTGTCTGAACTATAAGACAGGTAGAATTTTCAATTTACGTAGATGTAATATGTAATATAACTATAGCTGTAACATAATAGACCCATATATTGAGAAAGTTTCAACATTTAACTTGAAATGATAAAATGTCAATTGCAAGTAGGCTGTGAAAAAGTTATATACATACATAGTAATTCCTTGAGAAACACCTAGAAAAGTTGTATAGAGATAATGGTTTAAACCACAATAGATGAATTAAAAAATTAAAAATGCTCAATAATCCAAAAGGCGGCAAAAAAGGGAAACAAAGGAACAAAATACTGAAGGAACAAGCAGAAAACAAATGATAAGATAATGCATCTTAATTTAAAAATATTAATAATTACACTAGATATAAATGTTCTAAACACACGAATTAAAAGATAAATTAAAAGATTTAATTTTTTAAAAAAAAGATTACCAGGATGAATT